GGCAAAAGCGCCTGCCTGGCAAGCGCAAGGTCGTGAGTTCGGTTCCAGGTACCAGAGAAAAACAAAAAAAAACAAAAAAAAACAAACAAACAAAAAAAAAGGTTAGTGCACATATACAAGCCCACAATTTCCAGGATGTGGCAAAGGTACTCCTAACTCCTGAAGCCCTTAGGACCAATCCATACAGGCTCCTGAACTTCAAGCAGGGACCTGCAATTAACTGGAAGCTCTGGGAACCCCTGGTGAAGGACCCCTGGTGAAGTACAGCAAGCCAGGAGTGTCCTGCCAGTGACCCTAACCTGGCTTCCCTCAGGAGAGCCTCAAGAACCCTGAGGTCCCCAGACTGCCTGCAGCATGTGTTAGGAAGAATTTGGACTGAAAATCTCTGCCTTGGTTAGAAACAAAGACAAGAAATTACCCCTCCCCAAGTATTAACTGAAACCCCGGTTTTAACCAGAATACCCTGCCCACAATCTCCAAGATGGAGGCATCAGTATCAAAGGCCTAACTTCAAGACAGCAAGGTGCGTCAGGGGCCCGGGGCGTGGCTGTTCCCCCTCACCTGTCATTGAAAGCTAAGTGGAAGAGAACTGCCAGGCTCCTGGATTGGTGCTGCTGGCCCTTTGGCCAAGCAATTTAAGGAAAGGAAAAGCATGTAGGTGGGAAAACATTCTGGAAACATTTGCTGCCTCCAGAACCCAAACAACTCTTTCCTTAAACACTTCATCTCCGAAAGTGCTGGGGAGACCCTTGGCCAGTTTCAAAACCAACACTCACTAAGTCCTGCTGCCCGGGGTGAGGACTTCCCTGAGGAGCGTTTGCTCTGGAACCAAATGCTCTTCCACTCCAAACAACAGCCAGCAGCACTCGGGACAACAGGGAGGGCTCCAGATCAAACAAACATCCTCTTTTCCCCTACCATGCAGACTTTCTCAATAAATTATTCGCCCACTTCGGATCAAAGCCTGTTTTTGCAGCCTGTGACCTAAAAAGCAAATATCATCGCTTAAACATGAAAGCCCTCCTTCCTGCCTGGGTCAGCTTCATTACTCATTCGTTCCCCCCTTACAGTTATTCTGTTGTTATTTTCCTCCTGTGCTCGGTAGATGGTTGTACGAGTCCCAACCCGCCTGAGGACGATGGGACAAGAGGGATGGTGCGTTCATTCAGGGCCCTAAGGTGAGAAAGGAAGTCAGGGGCGGGGAGAAATCAGCATCCTGGGAACCCGGGAAGCCAGGCCAGCTCCGATTGGCAACTTTCTGTCTGGTCCTTTTGCCAAATGTCCTACTAGGAATTCTACCAGTGAGAAGTCAGTGCCACCCTGGAAGGACGGGCCTGGAGGTCCTACCACCTCCCTGCTCCAGGTACAAATCTAAACTTAAGGGGTGCAGTCCAACAGCTCATCCGGGCTTAGAGCTGAGGCTCCTGTTACTGACAGCACAGTCCCTCCTGAGCCCTTTGGGACGGCTCTGGATACGAACACGACCCTCCTCGATGACACCCTCCCCCCCACTAACGCCGCCCCTGCATCAAAGTTTATGCCTGGGAATCTCGCAGAAGATGAACCGGCCAGTGCTAGGCCCAGAGGCGAGGTCGGGAAAACTGCAAAGACCAGGGATGCCGGGTGCAATGTGCCCTTGGCAAAAAGAAACCCGGCGCCCCTCCCCCTCCCCTCCCAGCCCCCCGCAAGAGGCCTGCGGCCAAGCTGGTAAAAAGTGCCCCGGCCGGCTGCGGCGGCTAAGGGGATTAGAGGAAACCTCGCGAGCGCCTCCAGCCTGCCCCCGGAGGCGGTCTGCGGGAGCGCAGGCTGGAGGCGCGCCGGCGTGATTCCGACCGCGGGAGCCGGGAGGAGGAGCCGGAGGTAGCTGCGGGGGGCTCCGGCCCTGGAGAAGGAAGGGCAAGAGGCGGCTCGGGCCAGGGGCAGCGCCGGGAGGTGGGTGGCTGGACTCCCCAGGTGGGGGAGGAGTCTCGGAGGCTGGGGAAGGGCACCCAAACCCCGGGGGGCTGGGGGGGCGACCAAGCCGGGCAGCGGTGTGTAGTAGGGGCCGGGGCCGGGGCCGGCTGGGCCTCTGGAAGCTAGAGTGAAGCCTTCCTGCCTGTCTCGCAGACATCCTCATCCTCTGGCGGAACAGCTACGAGTCGCCAAGTCCCCTCTCATTCCTTGGCCGGAGGAGGGGATGTTTCAGGACCCAGGGATGGGCGGGAAGGGCCCGTGGGGAGCCAGAAGTCTGCACCCCGGCGGGGAGGAGGCGGGCGGGAGCCGCTCCGCAGGCGCAGGCGAGTGGGTGGGAAAGAGAGAGGGAGGGAGGAAGGAGGTGAGGCCGGGAAGATGCCTCTGCCGGGGGCGGGGCGCGGCCGGGGATCCGGCGGAGGGACTGCAGCAGCGCTTGGTGGGGGCGGGGGCTGCAATGTCACTCGTCGGAGGGTCAGGTGAGTGAGTCCAGGCGGGGTTTGCCACTTGCCGGCACCTTCCCCGCACCACCCAGGGTGTAAGGGCGGAGGCGGAGGGCCGGGGACTGCAGAACCATCCCCGGAGCGGGACGCGAACCGGCAGAGTTGGGAGAAGGTAAACAAGGGCCACGCCCCCTGCTGTCGCCCCGCGGGCGCACACCCGCCGCTCCGGCCGTCGCCGGTACATTTCCACTCTCTCAGCGCCTGTCCCCCGCCGGACTCGCCGCGCAACCCCAGAGGGGGCGCTGTCCCCGACCCCAGCCCGCGCCCCAGGTGCGGGGGCTGCGCACCTCCACACTCACCTGGAAAAGGTGTCCCCCGCCCCTCCACAAAAACTGCCTAATTTGTGCAGAGCCTCTGAGCCCAGGAGCCGAGCATGCTGCCCCCGCGTGCAGCGCCCGCGTGCACCCAGCCCAGAGAGGGGGCGCAGAGCGGAGGCGATGGCCCCCGGAAGGTGTCTGGGACCGGACCCGCTGCACGTGAGCCCAGCGCGGGGTCATGTGCACCGGCTCAGCCCGGTTCGGCGCCCGGACGTGCTGCGTATCAACAAAATGAAACTCGGGGCGACGGGAAGGCTGATAGCTCCGGGTTCTGCGAGCCCCCGCCCCCGGCCGCTCGACCTCCCCCCGCACCCTGCTCCAGCCGCAGCCCCTCCGACCGGCCGGAGCCCGCGGGGCAAGTTGCAGCCCCGGCGCGCCCCCGCCCGCCCGCGCCCCCTCGCCGGCCCAGGGGCTCTTTGCCGCAGTCATTAATAAAGAAGGTCGCCAGGCTCACCCTTCCAAAAGTTGTTGTTGCATGCGCCCCTCTCAATCTCCCCGCACTGTACTCTTTAAAACACGACTGACCAACATGCGCAATCTCTCCCCTGTGCTGTGCATCCCCCCACCCCCCGCGCTGGCTTCCTAGAACAGGCAGCCAGCGAGAGAGAGAGGGAGCGAGCGAGCAAGAGAGAGCGAGGGAGCGAGGAGCGCTGGCAGATCTGTTGCAAAAATACAAAATAATGCCGTGGAGATGCGCAGGGCCCATCCGCCCGGGGCTGGATCTTACCTTGCTCCGCGGTGCCCTCCCGAGGGGCGCTGCCCTCGGCTACGCGCCGCGGCGGGGGCCGGCGCGGGAAGGATGCTCCCGAAACCAGGAGCTCCTGGGGCCGGCGCGGGAGGGCGGGGGGCGCACATCCATCCGGGGTCGTGGCGAGGGAGGCGGCCCGGCCCGCAGCGTCCCGAGCCCCGCGCCCCTGCTGGGGACGGTCAGCCCGCCAGAGCCGAACCGGTGCCGCTAGGAGTGGGCGCAAAGTAACTCCATGGACGCCGCTCACCCCCCACAAAAATAGCCTCCAACAGCGATGGCCGCGGTCGGCACCATTCACCAACCCCCTGTGTATGTTTCTGTTTCTTTTTAAACCAAGACTTCCTTGTGATCTCTTTAGAAAAAAAAAATGTGTTGGGGTGGGGGTGGGGTGGGGGCGGGCAGGAGGAGCGAGGGAGGGGGAGTAGCCACTTTTTCTAATTCACTCGGATCTCCGCTCCCCACACCCCCGGCGCCCCCCCTCCGCCCAGTTGTTTGGCTCCGGCGGCGGTTCAGGTAGCGTTGCGGGCCCCGGGGAGGGGAGGAGGGTGCCGGCCCGGCCCCCCCCCCGGCCCGCCTGCACCCGGGGCCCGGACTCCTCGTGGACTCCGGGGCGCCCCCAGCCCGCCCTGTCCCCAGGGCCGGGCCCGAGCGGCGGCTGCGCCCGTGCAAGTCCCGTCAGGTCTGCTCACACTTCACACACTCACACACATACCCCGCCCCTCCACTCACTCACACTTTCTGCTCACACCCCGCCCCCTTCGCACCCCAGACCCGGGCGGCGCCCCCCGCAACCTTAAAAAAAAAAAAAGAAGCAAGCTTATACTTAAAAAAATCTTTTGGCGCCATATTAATGACGTACTTAAAATTTGCCATTTCTCCCTGCGTCAAAAAGACGTTTCTTTGCAAATAACAGCCTGGAGGCGACACTCGCGGAAGAAACGAGGTCTGCACCGAGCACCCCGCCTCCCCCTGGGGGCTCCGGCGCTGGAAGACCCTCGCCCTCGGCCAGGTTTCGGAAGGGCTGATTTTTAAAATGTGAATCGAATAAATCGCGTGGCGTTTTGCAGCGCCAGAAGTGAGCAGAAAGTGCTGGCGAGAGCGGAGGGGAGGGGCGCGCGCGGGTCTGGGGGAGGGGGCGCGGCCCTGGCCCTCCCCCCACCCAAATGGAAACTAACCTTCCGGGCGGGAGAAAGTTGAAATTGTGGGCGACCTCAAGGAAAGAGGGGCGGTGCGTAGCGAGGGTCCCTCTGGGGCTCGTCGCCCCCTCCCCCATCTCGGGTGCCTCCTGGCGCCCGGCGCTGCCCCGCATTTCCGGGGGGGTGAGGAAAGCAGTGATGGGTGGGTGGGTGGTGGGCGGCTGCAGATCCTGACTCCGGCAGGAGTTTGCCCCGGGGCAACCCCTTCCCCCTCGCTCGTCGCCTAAAGGGTTAAAAACCGAGGGGCAACTTCCGAGGGCTGGCACTTGGCGCGGAAGCGGGGCGCCCCCCTCCCCACCCTTCGCCGCCTCGCCCCTCCTCCTCCGCGGCTCCTCTTCCCGACTTGACCTTGTAGTGCACAAACAGTGCGCTCGGATCCTCGCAGTTTGTGGAAGAGCCTGCGCTCGCCAGGCGGGCGGGCTGTCGGGCGGCTGGCCGGCGGCGGCGGGGCCTTGGGCCGGTTCCCGGAGCCGCGAACCACACCCACCCACCCCGCTGCGCCCGCCGCGCTCACCTTCTCTCTAGGAAGGAGAAGGGCTGCCTCCTGGATGGGAGGGTGGGGGGCAACCTCGAGCCTCCTCCGAATGCCCCGGCTGGAAAAGTGGGCTGGCCCTGGGATGGAGGTTTGGGGAGACCCGCTGCCTGGCCTGACATCCCCAGGGCATCGTTGCCAACTTTTCCTCCCCTCTCCCTCTAAGATGATCCAAAGATTTTTTTCAACCCACCTTTGGCTTTAAAGACACGAGGGTGAATCCCTTTCCCTCTCCGACACTGAAGGTTGTTTATTCTTCCTTTTCCCTCCACCCCTTTCCATGGGAAGATAAATATTCAATTTACATAAGATGACATTTATGTGACAATTAAGAAGATTCCCCGATGGAATATTGTGAACACATTTGCTTAGAGGAGAAATAAATCTAATAATAAACAAATTCATAATAACAGCTCCAATCCTCCGACAGGGCGGATTGTCTACACAACAAAGAGAGATGACGGATGCTGAAATAAGCACTTTTTGCAATGAGAAAGAAATACGAGCTCAAAGGGAGTCACTGCAACATTTCTCTTCCTTGGCCTTCATTCACAAAGTTCGGGGAGGCTTGTCGGGCGAGAGGAGGGGCTGGGTATCCTCTCACAGTTAGACCTGGTTCTGGCTCTCCGTGTTCAAGTGGTAGGATTTTCCCAGGCCAAGGTCAGCGCCTGGGACAGGTGTTTCAGGCTGGGAGTGCGGAAGCGGATGGTTGAATACCTGGCCTCTAATCCAGGCTTTGCAGTTAGGATGCGGAGATGTGGGCCAGTGGACTCATATATGGGTCTCTTGCCTCTTCCTAGAACGAGCTGATTGGACTTGAGAGGGCATCCTGGGCACGTGTATATCAAGATGTACCCAGCCGTGCTTTATGTATAAGGCGGGACCTGACTCTGAGTGCACAGTGCGCGGACTACTTTACTGGGTGCCCCTTTGTTTTTGTCTTTTAGTGCAGGGGATTGAATCCAGGGCCTTGCTTGCTAGGGAAGTGTTTTACCGCTGAGCTATGATTCCGGAATGCCCCACTCCCTGTCTGTTTTTTGGGGAAGGGTCAAAGTGTGCTCTGAAAGTTTAAACAGTGGCAAACTTGGGGGAAATGATTTGTGTCTTATCCTCTATGAAGACACATATAAGAGTTCCCAATGCAGGCATGGGGAGCCCAGGAGAGAAAACTGTGGTAACCGCTAGGCTTCATGGTCAAGGTCCAGACAACAGTCTCAGCCGGTGTCGGGGTGCAGGTGGAGGCGTCAGCTGACAGACACAAGTCCTGGGGTCTGCAGTGGCTCTGGCTGCAGGGGTGGGGGGTTTACCTGCTGGGAGGACAGGACAGGCCCCTCCTCCTGGCTATCAGGAGACCTAGCTGGAATGGGGAAGTGCTTTGGAGGCAGTTATAAAATGACCTAAAGGAATGGAAACAAGAGGGGGGGACCATTTAAAGAGCACCTGCTCTGTGTTGTGCCCCGGGTAAGTGGTTTCGTGTTATCCTTGTTTCAAAAAACATTTGTACCTGTTCGGAACAGTTTAGTAACTTACCAACAGCTGATGATCAGTGGCAGACTTGGCATTTTGGTCTAGCTGTATCCAAGACATCAGGGTTCCCATCTGACCACAGTTAGAAATAAAAAGCATTATTGTTTTGGTTTGATAGGGGCTGGGGGCCCCGATAGCTCTCTTGACAAGGACAGTTTGACGAGTCGCACTTTGGCTCTGAGGTAGTTCCACGACCCCCAGTGAGACCCAGACTCCCTGAAGAGTCCTTGGGAGACCTGGTTTAGGAGCAGAGGCCCATTCAGAATCCCTGTGTCCCCTCCGCATCCTGCCTGTCTGAGGTTGACCTTGGAAGTGCTAATAAAATGATCATGATAAAGCTGATTATAACTTCTTAATCTTTACTGAAAGTCTCACAAATCATTAACTTTTCCAGGCAAAGAAATGAGCAACAGGAGTTCACAGAGATGTAATCGCTCATTGTGTTCAATGAGAATTTGTTGAGGGTCCCCGTGTGCCAGGTAGCATTCTAGGCGCTGTGGACGGAGCTCTAATGGGACAGGCACACATGCCCAGTCTTGCGGAACTTGCTTACTGGAGGAAGGAGATGTACCATTTTAAAATAAATAAATGGGAAATATATTATGTTTGGCAGTAATTAAGTGCTATGGAGAAAGATTAACAAATAGGAAAGGGGGACACATAGTGTTGGGGTGCAATTTTAAGTAGAATAGTCAGGAAACATAACATCTCACTGACATGGCTTTTTTTATTTTTTCTTTTCGTAGTGCTGGGAATGGAGCCCAGGGCCCAGTACATGCTAGGCAAGTGCTCTACCACTGAGTTACATCCCGCCCTTTAAAAATTTTTTTTTATTTTGGGATAGGGTCTCAGTAAGTTGCCCAGACTGACCTTGAACTTGTGATCCTTCTCCCTTAGCCTCCTGAATAGCTGGGACCACACATGTATGCCACTGTGCCCAGCATGAGAACATGGCTTTTGAGTAAAAGAAGGTAAAGCAAGCTGGCCATGGTGATACATGCCTGTAACCCCTCACCCCTGCAGCCAGAGCCAGCTCAGCATTTGGGAGGCTGAGGCAGGAAGATTGCCCTAGGTTCAAGGCCAGTCTGGATAATGAGTTCAAGGCCAGCCTGAACTATGTTGTGAGACCCTATGTAAAAAAAACAAAAAAGGTAAAGTGGTGAGGTGCATGGGTTGTATATGTGCATGTGAGGGTATATTAGGAGAGAATTAGGAGGGAACATTCGCAGCCAGGGCTTCTTAACCTGGAGCTCATGGGTTCTCTGCTCCATAGGGCTGCAGACAGAACTCGAGGGATCTTAACCTTCAATGAGAAAAAAAAAAAATGACATCTTTATTTTCACTAATTAAAGTATAGCATGTTCTTCTATTACAGATATAGACAGCAAATTAGTGGTATTAACAGCACCCGTGATATTGTTACTAGTGCAAATCAGATAATTTCC